TAGTTGTCATGAATTCACATCGCTAGGTTCTTCACTCATTTCTCTTTTTCTCTCATTTCTGTTTTTTACGACATTCGACTCTTTCCTGATTTATTGGTTTCATCCCTGATCTCTTCCTCTTCGATCTATGTTTCATCAATTCTCAGTATTTCTACTACTACAACATTTTCCTATGCAGTTCGATCATCCAGCCTCTTTCACCATCCCACATGATTTCCTTAGAAAATGCTTACCATAATGAGAAACGATTAGTATCTCCCATGATGCTATTGCGCTTTCGTGGAAGATCTGTTGCAAAATGGATGTCAGAACCTTTCCAAATAGTAATATTAGCGGACGAGATGCTCATCTTCCCGAACGCACCGCTCTTGTCTCACAACACAACTGGCCGAGTTGTAAATAAAAATAGACATTTTGGAACAAATTTGAAAGCTATGGACGCGTTCATTTGGTTGTCAGACGCTCTCTTCGGACAAGGTGGTCCTGTATAGAGAGCAGCTAAAAATACTTGAGGAGAGTGCGACCCACTCAATGCAACGCCTTCTGGCCATGGTAACGCCCATTTCTAAACGCCTCCTGGTGGCGTTGTTGTTTCACCACTAGCTCTCTACATTTCGAATGGTGAAAGTGATGTGATAAGGAGAGAGAGCTGGCGCAACAAGTGAAAATGCGTCAAGCGACGCCTTTTTTGCCCATGCTCGTACAAACGTCGGTTCAGCAAATGGGGTTTATGTTAGCATCGAGACGGATTTTTTCTCTACTTGTTTCCTACGCTTATTGCGTTCACTTACAATCTTGTCATTACAATTCGAGAGCCCGCACGAAATCAATTTTGAACATGAGCTGCCTCAACAAAAACAGAATTAATCAGGCTCAGTGTCTCGCAAAAAGAGAGGAAAGAATTAGCGGAAAAATCCGTTCGATGCTACCATTAGAAGCCGAAACGGAAACTGAACGATTTTCCTTGACCCCCCCGCCCCCCCCCCCTCCGCCCCCCGCCCGCGCCGCCCCCCCCGGCCGCCCCGCCCGCGCCCCCCCCGCCGCGCCGCCCCGTGATCATATTTTAAGCATATTATTCGAATTCTCTGATTTTATTTTCTATTCTATGTGTTATGTTAAGAGTTCTAGAAAAGTTGAAAGAGCAGCAAAGAACAGGCGCGCTACGGTTGGACAGCCCACCTAGAGATATGATGCTTACACACCCTCCATTTTTCCAAGGCCAAGCTTTTCTCTTTTTTCCAGTTTTTCCACGGTTGCTATTGTTTTTGCTTGCCACTACCGTCACGGAAATGACTGGCCCTAAATACAGACACCACGCTGACCATATGGGTGGGGCCGAGCTTGCCATTGTACTTTTTCATTGTGCTGCCTCTGCCGTCGTTTCTGTGTATCGTCAGAAAGTAGGGAGCACCAGCGAGGAAAGCGCCGTGGTAGGCCTAGCTCCGCCCATGAACTCAGCGTGGAAAATCCCTTCAAGAGATCTTCTAACCGCTCTGACAGTTCGACATGAAAGCAAAAATGATGCAGCGAGGTATACCATGTATCCCAAACATGGGAGGGGCGGTGCTCCATACTTGACTTTAACATGCAATAGGATGCATTTTTTATCGGGATGCTCCCAATTAAGACAACTATCATCTTCTTTTGCGTTGGACAATCACATGATTATAATTGTCCCAAAACGCCAATGCGCACTAGAAGCTCAACCGCCGTCATGGTTCAAATGGAGTGCTCAGCCACGCCCCTCCCATCTCCGCGATATAGAGTATATAAATAATATACATCATTTACATTAACATTTATTTATACGCTCTATAAAGCCGACTACAATAATTAATTTTTGTACGCAGAAATGGGCGCGATGTAGACCTGATCGTGAAGATCTTTTGTTTCCTGAACAGCTATACAGCAAACAGCTAAACCAACCACTAAAACAAAGCAGAAACAAACTAATTCCCGAGTAATTTCCACATTGCTGAATAGGAAAAAATGAAAAAAATAAAAAGAAAAAACATGAAGTACATGAGACAGAAGAATCATTGACAATCACGTAAATAAAAGCGCTAAATGGACACACTAATATCGACCTGAACGAAACCACATGTATTCGGAAAACGTGCGTATAGTATATAGTGGAAAACATGATTATTGATTGAAACTAGAGTAATGGCGCTGAGATGAACTAGCCCGTTGCAATGACGAAAACGAAGGAAATTTCATTTCCAAAACAGGAGATATCACATTCAATTCCTAGAAGAAAATCGAAGAAACACGAAAAAAATCAATACAAATCAATCAAAATCAAATCAAATCAGATATCGAATCACTAGCGAATCACTACGACAACCGTCAGCAAAAAATGTAATATTATATTTGAATGAAGAAAATAAAAGAAAATATTAAAGGCAAAACAAAATAAGCGAATGTAGAGCGTAGAGGCGGCGAATCGATTAGCTTTCAGATACCTTACGTATCTTTCTTGCGTAGGGATGATAACGATTCGGTGGCTCGGAGCTCCGCCCGTCCGACGACGCACTCTGAACAAAGTAAAAAAGGATAAGTGGTCCGATAGCCAAGATAAATTTGAAATATGCCTATGGTAGCAAGAGGACACGCTTAATAAGGGCGGGACTATCCCCGTGAATTTCAAACAGTACGTCATGCTTGACAGAACGCTCCGCCCACTGCGGGCGGTACCCACGCGTCACAGACACGCTCAACTCTCTCCAGACGTTCCTCTTCTCCATCAACTTCTGCACATTCCACTTTCTTGACGAATGTGTTACGAAATTTTGTGCGAAGCACATTCATACAGTCTGGAGGCTCTGTCAACGCCTCGCTTACCCTACTCCTTTTTTCCCACATCACATCTCTGCCGCTTTTGGAACCGGAAATATGAATTTATGTTTGCCGACGCGTTACTTTTGGGCAATTCGCGCGCCTGCTCTGTTCGAGGGCTTCACATTGTTCGTGTGAGCTATTAGGTTGTCCGGAAAGTTCTTAGCGTTTTGGGTGTTTCACTTCAAACGATCGTAACTTTTTTCATACTCATCGGATTTGATCGAAATAGGCACCATTCGAATCAGCACACTTTTGCCAATGTGACAGCAGTCGAGAAATCCATCAAAGTAAAAAACTGGGTGGTCAAAAATTCACGAAATCCACGAAGGCTTTTTTGCCTGGTCCTGTTTGATGAAGTATTTCCCAGCAAGGAAGTTCTGAAAATGTTCCAAAAGGGAATATTCGGTTGGTGGAAGGTCTGGAGAATATGGCGGTTGAGGTAGAACTTCAACCCCCAATTCGTTCAATTTATGGATAGTGATTTGTGAAACGTGTGGGCGGGCGTTGTCATGCAAAAGAATCGGACCCTTTCTTTTGATAAGTGTTGGCTGCATCTGACAAAATTTTCGGTACAATTTCGTCGATTTCTTCACAGTAGGGTTCTGCTGTGATGGTTTGGCCTGGTGATAAAAAGTTATAGTGGATCACACCAGAGGCCGACTGAACGCACGTCAAGCCGTGACCAGGATGCTTTTTTCCGGTGAGGGTTCGCTTTGAAAATACCACGTGGTTCGTCTAAATTCAACCACTGTCTGGACCGTCTCCTGTTATCATACATGACCCATTTTTCATCACAGGTGACAATTCGGTCCAAAAACAGGTCGTTTCTGCTGCGCAAAAGCAATGCAGAAGGAACCTCGAGACGTGCCGATTCCTGCCGGTCACTCCGATTGTGGGGCACCCAATTGTCGAGTTTTTTCACCTTCCCAATGCGTTCCAGACCATCTGCAACAGTGGATTTGCCAAGGCCTAGCTCTTCTGCTATCTCTCGAACTGTTTGGGATGGGTCAGCCTCCAAAATCCCCCTAAAATCCTCGTCAGATATTGCTTTAGGTCGACCGCTATGAGGTTCATCTTCAAGGCTGAAATCTCCAGAACGAAATTTGTTGAGCCATTGCGGCACAGTGCTTTCTCTAGCACTATTGGGCCTCCACACCTGGTTAATTTGTTGAGCTGTTTCGATTGCGGATTGCCCCAAATTTTTATAGTCGAAGAAAAAAATCGTCCGAAGTGCTCTTTTCACATGCTTGAAAAAATCTTGGAAAAAGGGGGTTTATTAAGGCAATGGTGAAATGGCAATTATACCATCAGATAGCGCAAGAAATTCTCTACAGGATGTGCTACTGAGAAGTAAGGCAGAATGAGTTCTTAATCAGCAGTGAATGTACAAAATTTAGGTGCACAAAACGCTAAGAACTTTCCGGACAACCTAATACCTCTTGTTGCA